TGCTCATGCTGTCATAAGTGTTATGTTTCGTTTATCTATAAGACATTTTTACAGCCATTAAGGACTTTGAGCCCTTTTGCATGTTTGATTTGTTTTAGTTTTTGAAATCGTCTTATTTTTCCGTTTTTAAGACTTCCTGTTCCAATATTGGCATTGGAATTCTGTCTTTTGATTTTTATTCAAATTGTAATCATGAAAATTGATAGAATTTGCATTGAAATAATTTGTCAAATAAAAAATATATTAATTAAGACAAAACAAATGAATTCAATAAAACTTTTCCTTCCATCACAAATATTGTTAAAATATTTTGAAGATGAATGTTTTTTTTTTAGAATGATTCCTATTATTCATCCAGGTTATAAATGGTGCGTTTCCGATATCAATATCAGCCTCGTATTAAACTATTAGAAGCATTAGCGTTTCACTTCATATACATAAAATACCTAAGTTGAAATATATATATATAATACATACTGAAATATGTTGTTCCTTCGATATCTACATTATATAGCCCCGCAATATCTCTGCAGTAATACATGGTAAACCAAGAAGATAACAAACTAACGATTCTCTCCAATTCTCGGTGAAACATTTCAAATCAAGCGAGTATTTTATTACCACCGTGAAGCAATGACGGAAATGATTTTGTAAATTGGTCTCCTGTCGATGTTTCACAAGTAATATGGTGTGTGTCAATGTGTTCTTGACCTCTCGTCATACACGACCCCATTATATCTAAACGGTGTAACACTATTGTTTCTCATTTGGCGTCATCTCTTGTGAAATTAGCCATCACTGTGGTCATGGCGTCTTATTACAGACTAATATCGTTTACAGGATACGTAATTTAAATGAAGGACGCATCAGCGATGACCTTGACACAGTCCTAGGAACAAGTTTAATGAACCCATAATCGGTGCTTAAAGATGCTGCCATGTGCAATTTTTTTTTCAATATAGTTGTTGTCAGATTGTTTCACTGTTCACCTTATCATTTCAACTATAATTTCTTAGTCATTGTTAGTATAATAACACTTAGTGCTCATTAACCTTTGATTAACCATTTTCTTTAAATCTAAAATTGAAATATCCAAAAAAGTATGAAAATTCCATAATTCAGGCGTTGACGTAAATTTTGCTTTTCTTCTGATTTTAAATACTGAACAAAATAGACAATGCATTAACCCCATAGATGTATTCATTGATCACATTAAAAATGTGATGGAAAATGTTGTCCTGACTCACAAAAGCGCCATCAATAGGATTATGTTTCGATGGTTATAATGGATGTTGGCAAATATAGAACATCTGGATAGGTGTTTCCTCAATCAAATAACGGGGCACAATAGCATGGCCCTGGAATAGTCCTTTCATATATGGGCATCGTCGTATCCGCAGTAACGTAAATAAATACATTGCCACCATCGAAGTACTGTTGGCCTTGACCAAGAGTGTCAGTGATGTAAAATGTATAGACATAATTAGTGGAAACTAAAATTAAACACCAAATAAAAGGAGAAAATAAGAATGAACCATTTTTAATATAACGCAACGACCAAACATAAAAGGTGAAAAGGGTTGGTCGAATGGAGCATTGGTAATGCACCCGCACTTTACCAATACGTCCTGGGTTTGATTCCCAGAATGGAGATGAAAAGGTATGGTATCGCGTAGGTTTTCCGCTGGTAAGACTACTGATCAATATTTGTTGGAGAAATCGAATTATTTTGAAATGCATTAAGTTTAAATAAAAGTTATATTGGGTCCATTGTAAATCAAACAAATATCAATAAGCTTAGGGACCTGTCTTGGTTTTGACTGTTACGTATCGGCGTAATGTTGGGATAAAGTAAGTCAGTGGTGTTTTTCTACAACAATGGCGTTGCTATATTTTCTACAAGTGATGTCCTCCTGAGACTTCACAGCTGTTACGAGGCCCAAGTTTTGTTCCTAGTGGTCAATGACCTCATTATCTCCTTACTTTACAAAGCAATATCAGGATATAGCCTTAGAAGTGTCATTCAAGCTTCTTTAGATGACAAAGGAAAAACGCAACGGCGACATATCCTCGTCAAATGACTGCAAATATTTGTAAATAATTCGTTTTATTTTAAATCAAGTAGCCATCGGTTAATAAAACTCTACTATATGAACATTGAACAGTCTAAGTATGACATTGATGGTTGAGCTTTACAGGCAGACATACCATATAAGCGAATAGCGTTATATTTGTCTCTTAGACCATGTCATTCATAACTATCATAAATGTCATAACACAACAGAGCAATGCTTCCATTGGGTGCATTGTTGTAGAGTCAACAGCTGTCGCGCAGATTGAAATATTAAACTTGAAAATTTGTCAGTATTGACGTCATCTACATAAACTATAACGGTACTTAGAGTACACAGTGAGTCATAATGTTGATCAAGCTTAATTCTAATAAGCCATTATTTATGAAAATTAATTACCTTGATGTTTGGTGATTCGTATTTCTACAACCATATATTGATGAGGGTTTAAACGTAAGTTTACCATATATTGTTGAGGGTTGAAACGTAAGTTTACCATATATTGATGAGGGTTTAAACGTAAGTTTACCATATATTGTTGAGGGTTGAAACGTATTTTTATCATATATTGTTGAGGGTTGAAACGTATTTCTATAACCATATATTGTTGAGGGTTGAAACGTATTTTTATCATATATTGTTGAGGGTTGAAACATATTTCTACAACCATATATTGTTGAGGGTTGAAACATATTTCTACAACCATATATTGTTTAGGGTTGAAACGTATTTCTACAACCATATATTGTTGAGGGTTGAAACGTATTTTTATCATATATTGTTGAGGGTTGAAACGTATTTCTATAACCATATATTGTTGAGGGCTGAAACGTATTTTTCAAGATGTTCATCTGCATCCGATCTGTGCTCGAACGAAAGTAATTATAATATTAGATGTGATGTTGCAATGCCGGTCACACCGTGTTACTCCAGAATAAACATGATGCCTCCCACGCGATTAGTTATACAGTGATATGCTGATGTCCATTCATCCGGATGTACTCCTTGCGGGCAGGCTGGCAGTTCCAGTCCTCCATTTGAATGCATTCTCAGCAGATTTTTTTTTCTTGTGGTCACTGCTAAATTAGCTTGACAATCAAAACTGCTATCAACATGGAGAGAAATCGGCGACAGCAACGATAGCAGCGGCGAGTTGACGATGCAGAATTCGACATTTAGATAAAGCATTGATATTATTGATACCAAATTTTGATCAATTTTGCTCTCAGTTTCAATGAAACATACAACAAATTGAGTGTCTATAAAGGATTCACTAACGATGTATTTGTTGAACTCTTTCAAATACTTCTCACGTGAGGCATGTCCAGTGCCTGTAAAAGTAATCTAACCTCAGCTGTTTTGTAAGTCGTTTATCGTTTGGTTTTCATCACATTATATTTTGTTTGGAAATGAATTTATAATGCACATCCGTCAGTGCAGCTTGATAGCTGCATCAACACATGAAAAATATCAAAAAGAACGTTGCAAGAATGCCAACACACGACACCTGGAAAGGTACTTTTGGCAGATGTCGATATTGTAAACAGTGATAAAATTAAAAACCAGCGATAAAAACGAAAAAAAAAATAACTATGAAAGTAGGACCTTGTTGTTGAAACTATATCAAGGATGACTTCATTATATTATACATATTAAAACGAAGTCAGAACTACTTCGACAGGTGAAGCCGACGGAAGAGAATTATCACATACTGCAGTTACAGAGATGGACATGTATAGAACGCCATAGGGGCATACAATATGACATATCGAAGACATGTTAGCCACGCCATCTACACAAACAAAGAGCGTTGGCACACTGAAACCACAATATATATATAACAAGACCTATTTTAAAATGAGTATATGAAAATATGACGTCAGTTTCTCAAACTGATTGAAGGCAGTTGGTGCAAATATTACTACAGTATAGTAGATCTCGTGATAAGACATTCGAACGAAAACTAACAAAGCCCCAACATGTTAGCAAAGTTCTTGATTCAAAACCATAATAAAGTAAATCACTAATCAAACTAACGGTTTCCTGAGAAGATTTGAATACATCTAGATAAACCCTCAATGGACCAGTTAGTCACGTTGATTAAAGCTAAAACATTTCAGGAGCACGACACTAGCTTATGCAGCATCATATGCAGCATCCATCGTCGCGTGCACAGCTCGTGCTCATTTACACGTGGTGTAGCAATCTCAAAGCTCGTAGACATGAAATTGTCATGAGAATTTGCACAAATTAGAGATAAACTTTGCATTGCTAGCGGCAATCGATCACCCGTTGCTTTTATTTCCACGTCACTGCATTTTTTTCTACTTTAATAAGATATTTCTTAGCATCTCTTCTCATTTGCATGAAAGTCGTGGCTGTGTTGCTTTCGGGTATTTATCTATCACGTGTTTATCAGTTGATATTGATTCGTGTTTTATTTAAATAGCGCTTCTGGGAGATATACATTTATCAGATTACGTTAAAAGAACGCAATCATAAAAATACATAATAAAACGATATTATGTCTTATATCAGTCCTGCTAGCCTACCGGAAGAGGATACAACTTTCGTTCAAAATCAACAATTTTGCAGGGACAGTTTCGTGTTCATGCGACAAGGGCATTCCACCTTAAGATGTCGTGTACATCTAGATTCTGTATCGGGAAACACCAGTCCATAGGCCTATAACACTATCACACACACAGCAAGCCTCCGACAGTGGTATCGACCCACGCGACAGCACCTTTCCCAAATCAACTACATAACTTCCATACGTGTTAAACAATTCAAAGCTATATATATATATATATATATATGAGGCTTTATTTTGTTATTGTGTTGTACTTTAAATATGTTTGTTAAATGATATACATTTATGTTACATTATCAGAATCAAAACACATAATGTAAAAACATAACACTTACCAACTTTCTTGTTATCTTGCAGTTCAGTTCCATATATACTGTCGGCTAGAAAAACCAGTGTTAAAATTCCTGTGAAACGCATACCTAAAGCTCCGTTAAACCGCACAAAGGGTAATATTAGGGAGTCCTAACTCCCCTCAGCATCTATATCGAAACATGACCAGCTTCTCCTCAGCGTTGGTAAGGTTTCATCATCGACGATGTCCTTTTCAATATCATACTCAGGGACATGATATCATATCGTCAATATGGATGTCGGTTCATCGCCCTATGATTTTCACTATCGAAGTATACACATAACAATGCCGTGACCTGGTTAGAGATGAGATGGTTTCATCGTCAATTTCCTTCAATAATGGTGCGATGAACACATAGCCAGCTGTATGGAGCCTTCCCTAGTATCACCACTATGTTAACCCGGTCCCTATAGCACGTCGCAGTATAGCGGTACGGCGGCCTACGTACCAACTCCTCATAGTAAATCCTGTTTGGTAGCAAATGTAAATATGCTTAGCCTTACTACGATACGAAAATGGCTTTCTCTGAGTTCAGGCATAACCATAAACAATTTTTACATAATAGTGTGAGTATAAATCCGCACATTATCGTTTACAGTTTACAGTGTGATATTCCCAGTGATAACAACAGGTCTCTCTATCGTTTACACATCTCTAGCCGTAAGTTGGTTTTAACTTCCGTTAAGTGATGACAGTATTTAGTATGACTTCAATCTGCAATAAAACGACAGTCTATGTAACTGAAACATTGGAATACATTTTCTACAAGCTTCAACTGTTTTTAAAGACATACCTTTACTTAAAAGTCACATTTGCGATATATTCCGGGAAGTGTTTAAAATAGAGCAAACATTTCAGCACATAAACGCCACCGTTGATAAAGGGACAACAAACAACTCATAGTACTAATCCATTAATTTGATATGGCGATTGATAGATAAGTGATCTCTATCATAGTTCTTCAAAATGGCGATATCATGACATAAAGCGAAGCCATGAAGTTAAAAAAACTGTGGTATTATTTTAAACAACATGACAGTACCTCTCGCCATATGGCTGTGATGTAAATAACAGTTCCCACTGAAGCAGACAGTGTTCCGAAAGTCACCGATCGATAGCGGAGACAGTCGATCGATAGCGGAGACACTCGATCGATACCGGCCACCAAAACGGGCATTGTCCCATGTTACTTCCGTTGATGACAACCTATGCGATGTGAAGGGCATGTAAGAAAGACCTTAACAATGGTTATACTCTTATACAGTTGGTATATCACGCCATGCTTAATGTAGCGGAAGACCTGAGTATGTGATCTGGCAAATACGTACGGTAATCTGTTCATGATTATACTATTTGGAGATCAGATATTGTCTTATTGGAATGGGTACTGTTATTGAAATATTAACCTTCTAATTAAGCATATCATGATATACATACATATCAATGTGTCTGAACATATGAATATAGCAAAGTGCATATCTTTTTGGTCAGTCTAGCAATTTGTGTTTTTAAATAATATAGCCAGAGATGGGAATATGCCATGTCAGTCTTAAACGTTTGGATCTTATTTTGGTTGAATGAATGAATGAACCAAAATATCTTGTAAGATCCAAACGTTGAGTTATCAATTTCATACATTGAAAGAAACGATATGCCTGCATAATCACTATGAGCCCAGCCATAACACGATTGCTTTATTCGTGTTGAAGGTTTACCATATCTAATACTAATTCATCATTTTCATGAGTCTTTTTATAAAGAAAATAATACGGATTTCGAATAATTATCTCATGTAAAATCATCTTTTCTACAGTGGAAATTTCACATTGATTTCGTTCACAGATAATTATTCGTTTGAAGCGCAAACAAAACAAAGCTTTAACTGTACTAGATCACGATACAAGTTTGAAAAAAAGGAATTTTGAATTTCAAACAGAATGTTATCGCGATTAATGACAATGCTGTACACACGCAATCCTTGATAGCATATTTTTTAAAATTATAATTTGAAATAAAAACGGTACGCATTGATTCATTATCAACAAGAAAAAAAATATTAGATGAAAAACGCCTGTAAACAATAGACATGTATCTTAATCATCCATCACATGGTATCATTGATCCGGACGTAATCATCACGTGATTGATCGGGACTTAACGCATGTGATACAATTAATCCGAACTTATTCATTACGTGATACCATTTATCCGGATTTCGTCATCATGCGATAAAATGAATGCGAGGTTATTCATCACGTGTTGCCATTAATCCGGACTACCATTAATCACGAATTAATCATCATATGATATCATTAATCCGGATTCTATCATCACGTGATAGAATAAATCTGAACTTATTCATCACGTGTTGCCATTAATCCGGACTGCCATTAATCACGAATTAATCATCATATAATATCATTAATCCGGATTCTATCATCACGTGTTAGAATAAATCCGAGCTTATTCATCACGTGATGCCATTAATCCGGACTTTATCACCATGTGATATCATTAATCCGGACATATTTACCATGTGATACAATTAATGCTGATCATGCATTTTAACAGAGAACTAGTTCAATATCATTGATTGGAATCTCTTTTGAAGGTTTATGAATATATTTACTGGTAAGGACGTATTTAAAGGCACGCGAAGGTTGATGAAACATATTTCATGTAAAACAAGTCAAACATTATAGAATCATATACTAGTATTCGACCACCAGTGAATGTTTATAGCAAATGAAAAGCAGATACGATCAATCAACCCCTCTAATTGTATCTGTTCCTCATTACTAAAACATACCATGATATCGTATCTAGGTTAATTCCTTCTGACGGTCCAGATAACACAGTTGACCTATTTATAGAAAACACATGGTCTGACCCGGTTCACATTTGGTGATAATCTTGATCTCTTTCGAAGTCTGATAAAATATCAACTTTTGAATGTACTGCTGTTTTGAATTTAAATCCATCCGAGAAATGGGAATATGTTTTTTTGAACAAGGTAAATGTTGCATTTTTGTCTTGCTTCTTAATCTTAAAGTGCGCGTTGTACTAGTAGAGGACAAATTACACTTGAACAGAAATGTAAATGTTTTAAGTGTCTCTTGAGTCATGTTATGTTGATCTCTTCACACATTCTTTTACGACATGTCACGAATCGTCGATGGTGACCAAGATAACATCAATAGACGCTATCTCTTGGGAGTAAAAACAAAGTCGTTTGTGTCCGAAACCCTCTGCGTGGTTGATTAACAACTATAAAAACGCCATCGTTATTTCCTGTCATGCATTGCTTTTGACAAGTCACAACACTCGCCATTTCAATACTTGGAAACCTGGATGAAGTTTCAGCATTGTCAACATAGATCTCTTTCAGGATTCGGACTCGGATTGACCGATTTGTAAGTAAAATGTCCAGTAGATTTTTTAGAAATATTTTAGGTCAAAGGTTATTACTATATTTACACACCATTTCAGATGAAACTCCGCTCTGAGGTCAATAAAAAGTAAGCGTATCGAAATTCTTGTCGTCCTCCTCTCAATGATAGACATAAAACTATTACCATTGGAAACACTAATGCACACGACTTCTTCTTCGTCCAATAACCTAAACTATTCTATTGAATGTGTTATATAAACTTTTCTAACCTTAGAAAACAGTTACTATGCTATGATTGGAATCATGTGCACAAATATTTCACTCTAATTTACTAGCTTGTGCACTTGAGTTCACTAGCTATTGCACTGAAGTTAGCGTCAATGTGCATTGGAGTTGACATCAATGTGCACTGGAATTGACATCAATGTGCACTGGAGTAAACATCAATGTGCATTGGAGTTAACAACAATGTGCACTGGAATTGACATCAATGTGCAATGGAGTTAACATCAATGTGCACTTGAGTTAACAACAATGTGCACTGGAATTAACATTAATGTGCACTGGAATTAACATTAATGTGCATTGGAGTTAACATCAATGTGCACTTGAGTAAACATCAATGTGCATTGGAGTAAACAACAATGTGCACTGGAATTGACATCAATGTGCAATGGAATTGACATCAATGTGCACTTGAGTTAACATCAATGTGCACTGGAATTAACATTAATGTGCACTTGAGTTAACATCAATGTGCATTGGAGTTAACATCAATGTGCACTGGAGTAAACATCAATGTGCATTGGAGTTAACATCAATGTGCACTGGAATTGACATCAATGTGCAATGGAGTTAACATCAATGTGCACTTGAGTTAACAACAATGTGCACTGGAATTAACATTAATGTGCACTGGAATTAACATTAATGTGCATTGGAGTTAACATCAATGTGCACTTGAGTAAACATCAATGTGCATTGGAGTAAACAACAATGTGCACTGGAATTGACATCAATGTGCAATGGAATTGACATCAATGTGCACTTGAGTTAACATCAATGTGCATTGGAGTTAACATCAATGTGCACTGGAGTAAACATCAATGTGCATTGGAGTTAACATCAATGTGCATTGGAGTTAACATCAATGTGCACTGGAGTAAACATCAATGTGCATTGGAGTTAACATCAATGTGCACTGGAGTAAACATCAATGTGCACTGGAGTAAACATCAATGTGCATTGGAGTAAACAACAATGTGCACTGGAATTGACATCAATGTGCAATGGAATTGACATCAATGTGCACTTGAGTTAACATCAATGTGCATTGGAGTTAACATCAATGTGCACTGGAGTAAACATCAATGTGCACTTGAGTTAACATCAATGTGCATTGGAGTTAACATCAATGTGCACTGGAGTAAACATCAATGTGCATTGGAGTTAACATCAATGTGCACTGGAGTAAACATCAATGTGCACTGGAGTAAACATCAATATGCATTGGAGTTAACATCAATGTGCATTGGATTTAACATCGATGTGCATTGGAATTGACATCAATGTGCACTTGAGTTAACAACAATGTGCATTGGAATTGACATCAATGTGCACTTGAGTTAACAACAATGTGCATTGGAATTGACATCAATGTGCACTTGAGTTAAC